TTCATCTCCCACAAGAAGTGAAGATGTTAGTGAGAAACTGAATGGAAAGTGGGTACGAAGAGGGTTTTGCAATCCTCTGTTCCTCCTGTTCTGATTTTAATCTTCCTGAGCCTATTTCTCATTAAGAAAAATAATAGCTTGATCCTGGGACTGACTTCTGACTCTGTCTGAAAGACTGCATCTCCCTTAGTTCAGACTATCTGAAAAACCATATCTCCTTTCATAAGCCTCCCTGAGCTTATGACCCTTGGGAGAGGGCTTTCTGATGGTTCCAACACTGTCACAGGCCCATCTGGCTGGCCATATCGGGGGGGGGGGGTTGATCCCAGGCTGTGGAGTTTCATCTCTTGGAAGACTAGGCTGGCTACTTCTCTGCTTTCCTTTCACCAGCAAACAAAGACCTTTGCATCAGATGATTAACAGGTTGTATGGAAGCATTTTTATTGGAGTGTCCATGTGCACTGCATTTCATTTTTATTTTGATATCTTTGATTGGATGTCAGGGGCTGAATCTGCTAAAGCTTAACCACACACTTCTCTGTATAAGGCATTATGAAATAGTTAATCCAGCTGGTGAATGTTTTGGATGCAAATTCACAATATTTCAGAGAATTCAAGTAGATAAAAGACATTCAGCCATTCCTAGCAATACAGTATTTTTTCTGCTTGCTGCACACTGAAGCTGGACATGTGAAGCAAGGAGCCACCATCTTTTGTGAAGGCTCCCTGCCTAATTTAGAATACTGCAAAAACAGAATGTATAGCTGTGTAGGGGTTCATCAATAAGTAGAGCCAGATCTTTTTACAGATATTTGGCCCCATTTAGGGGGAAGGAAGGCCACAGTGACTATCATGGAAAGGGCAGAGCCAGAAAAGATGTCTTTGGGGGGAAGCAGACTGGCGGCACGGGGCCGCCCTGGGAAGGTGTGCCACAGGATCGAGGCATCCCCATGTCAGGACGCTGAGGCAGTAGGTTGCCTCCGGAGCGCCGGCCGTGCGGAGGGCCGGCGGCTCCGAGGGCAACCTCGAGAGGAGGAAGGGGCGCCGAGCATGTGGCTGCCCCTCCTCTTCCCTGCCTCGATGACGGCTTAATAAGCCATCTGCCGAGGCCCTTTGCTTCCCTCCTCACTAGGTAGGCAGTAGACACAAAGGTAAATCCTGAACAGGTCTTTGCATATCTATGTAATTCCCCCCCCCCACACACCTGCCTGGTACAGATTACCTGATTTCTTAAACCCTGGAAAACTAAAATTGTTTTCTAGCATCCAGAAAAGGTCTTGATGCTACTAGTTCTAAGTTAAATGCTTATGAAAGTGTCACTTGCATCCAGTTTTCCACTAGAGAAAATGTCTAGTTTTTACGTTGAAATATTATACAATTAAGTGCACTATTATTTCTGTACATAAGTCACTTTTCTGCATATTGTACCGCCTAGATGACTGATGGTGATAGAAAATCAAACATCGTGGTTTTTTAGGAATCTTTACCTGGCAAGTACATGTAGTGCAGCTATCTGTGGTCCATTCAGCTGTATTTTGGTACACAACTTGATTATGAAGGCATGCTCCAGGACTTATTTTAAATGGACCACCAACAAATTCCATTAGACCATTCTTAAAGAGAAAAACAGAGAATAGTTTTTAAATTATATCTAAATAAAAAAATGTTTTAATACATCTGAATTTGACAAATAAAGCACACAGATTTGCATTTGCTAGAACATATTTTACTTGGAGGTAAGTTCAGTTAATGTCAATGGATCATGCTTCCAAGTAAATGTTCTTACATTCCAATTATAAACTCACTGGAATACATAGGAGTACTAAATGAATCACAGTCCCATGACCAGTTCACACATTCAAGCCATTCATTTGGTACTTCCCACATGTGGGATTATATAGAGACATTTTAGGGTTAACTAGGCTAGGTATACATAGATACAGCCTACAACTACCATTTATGTAGCAACAGTAGGTGAGGAAACTATCACTATCACACTAGAGACTACTGCCACAGCATGAGTCTAGACATAGCTCAGTTTACACTGTGATTTTAGCTCAAAAATGCTAGCCAATTTGTGGCATAGGAACAGTTTTGGGTCAGGGAAGGGAAAAGAAGAATGGGTCCACTTTCTTTCTGTTTACAGAAGCGTTCTTTTCTTGTCACCTGAAAGTAACTCTTACCCACCACAAGGGAGTGGCAGTTTACGAGCTTGCCTTCTAGGATACAGTATGGGCTACAAGCAGAACATGAGCAGCAGGCCTGTATGTGTCAATGAGGCCTTAAAGGTTCATTGCCCTTCAGTTCCATTATTGTGTGTTTAATAGCCACTTACCACTTTGTGGACTGAATCTTGAAGTGTTGTGACCAGGGCACGTAAGCTTTGCAGTTCTACAAACACATTGGTTAGTTCATCACAGGAAAATCCACAGATTGCCTGGATGTCTTTTGTTTTATGGCCAATGTAGTTTGTGCGAATGGCTGGGCGGGAGCCATTTATGGGATTGTCCAACTTAATGATGGTCCTAGTAGCTAAAACAGAAAATTCATGCATGTTATGATCATGCACATACATATGTACTATGGGCCTTTGCAGACTGCTAGAATTGAATCCACTTTAAGGGTTAGGGTTAAGGTTAGGGAATCATGGGAACTGTATTTAATTGTGGCACCAGAGCTCTCTGACAGAGAAGGCTCAATGCCTCAGAAATAAAAATAATTCCCATGATTCCCTAGCACTAACCCTAACCCTTAAAGTGGACTCAATTTGCACTATTTCTAGCAGTCTGCAAAGGGCCTATATATAAGGCAGCAATTTCTTAGTGTACAGTTCTTATCAAAGCTAAAAGCTAAATTTTTGAAAGGTCAGTGTAGTTGGAGAAATATTACAGACTTACAGCTCTCACAGCCTTTGTTCCTTAGGATGGTTTCTAGTGTGGTTCCAAATACAAAGCGCACATTCTGCAGCATTCCCTGAAAAAGGAAAATTGCATTCATTAGCAACTTCTGGGTTTTTTTTTTAAGTGGAAGCATTGTACATATTTGTAAAGTGTGCTATATTACAGATTAATATATATCTACACATTTAAAAGCTTGTATTTAATTTAAACACTTTAAGTGCTAAAGTAAGTTGCTGTTCCACCTGGGTATAGCAAATGTTAGGCCCTAAGCAGACGACTAAAAAAGTCGTCTTCCGGGCAGGGAAGAGGAGGGGCAGCCGCACGAGCGGCGCCCCTTCCTCTCCCCGAGGTCGCCCCCAGAAGCGCCGGCCGTCTGCATGGCCGGCGCACCGGGGATGACCTCACAGCGCAGCGCCCACATGCGCTGTGCCGTTTGAGTCAGGGAAAGTGCGCCCGCCGCTTTTAGGGCGCACTTTCCCTGAAATCTAAAAGGAGCGCCAATTTGGTGCTCCTTTTAGATTCGCCGCAGGGGCGCTGCGGTGCGGAGCCTCCGCTCCGCCGGCGCCCCGACCCACGGCGACTGGGAAGCAGTCGTCTGCTTCCCCTGTTAGTCAGTCAATTCTTTACTGTATTTGATTAAAAACCTTTATAAATCCAAATAAAATCCAGTAAAAGAATACATACATACATGTACATGTACCTCTCTACAAAAACTCAAGATTAAGTCCCCTGCACAATGTCCTTAAAATAATTAGTACAAATAATTTTAGCAGCTTTAGCAAATAAGGCTGTTTTATGTGTAACATGGATTACAGTCTGATAGTAACCAAAATAGTTGTTCGCAAAACTATTTTCCCATCTAATTCTACAGGCATTTTTCTTGAATGGAAGCAGAGCATAATCTTCCCAATTTATAAGAAAGCAAATGTATATTGGCCAGGATTCTCTTAACTTTATACATTTATTCACTTTTTCTTCCTTGTGAACAATATTACCTACATAGAAGAGTCCCTAATGACTCAAGGTTCACTTCTGAATAATTTTTCCAATTAATGATGGACAAATGTCAAAACTCTCTTCCTTTTCTTCATGGACAGTAAATGCTTTTAGTGGCAGCCAGGAAAAAGTCAGGGGCAGAAAAGTATACTCCGGTTTGGTGCCTAAATTGATGGTTCACTACATTGTAGTCGTGTCTCCACTCCACATTACTTCCTTGAAATAAATTATGGACCTGCTACAACAAGACATCTCACCTGAAAGTTGTCATTGAATCCTCCTTTTGCAATGCGGAGTCTGGCACTGCTGGCCAGGTCCCTGGTGAAGATATTCTGGATAGGGATTTCCAGTTCGGCATTTACCATTTTCTCACAGCCCACATACAGCTGAGCCTGATCTTCTTGGACTAAGAGGGTGATGTTGTTCCACTGTGCATGGGGCAACTCAACATCCTCCACTGACACCAGAGACTGGTTACCCTCCTTGGGAAAGATACTCAAGTCCAAGGTTTTTGCCTTGCCATTCAAGACAAGCTTAAAGACATGGCCAGAATTGTCCTTCCGCTCCACAGCCAGCAGGGTGCCAGGGCTCTTCTTCACTGGGCGAAGGTTAGCTAATAGAATAAAGCCCTTTTCAGCTTGGATGGCATAAAGAATGTCTTGAAATTTGTGGTCAGGGATTGCAGGAATACGATTGGCATCATCAATGCGGTAGGCAGGGCTGGAAACCTCTGGTCCCTTCACAGGGTGTACCCCTGCTGCCTTCCGGGCTGCTCCTTTGCGACCAAAGCCAATTAGTTCAAAGAGATCAAAAACACTGTTATCATCCCCAGGCTCTGTCAAGAGAAAGAGAGAGGGACAGAGGAAGAAAATGTATTGGTTATTGTGGACCAGATGAAACCCTACAGAGAAATTAGGGAGTTTTCACATACTGCATAAATGTTAAGCAAGTTGTTGTTGCTAAATGCATTCAAGTGAATTCCATCCTATGGTGAACCTAACATAGGATTTTCTTGGCAAGACTTGTTCAGAGGAGGCTTGCTATTGTCTTCCTTGGACACTGAGAGATTTGATGACATACCCAAGGTTAACCAGGGGGGTTTCATGGCTGAGCAGGAATTTGAACCCTGGTCTCCTGGAACCCTAAAACCAACATTCAACCACTACACCACACTGGCTCTAAAACTCACAATGAGGATGGGATTTGAATGCAGACCACAATGGATCAGCAGTCCACTGCTCTAACTACTCCGTCTCTTCATCACACATTTTGTTAAGCATACTGGCAAAGACAACCAATGCTGTAATCCTGGAAGGTTGTGTGTGTGTGTATGTGTTTGTGGGTGGTGGGGGACTGAAGGAATGTGCTCTGGGCAAGGGAAAGTCAGCCAGTTATGCACGCTCTGAGGTGAAAGTAGGCAGCCAAATTGGCGCGGCTCTCAGAGGTTACAAGACAATTTTAGATTGGGAAGTGGGAGACATGCCCTGAGAAAGACAAAAAGCTTGCCCAGGCATTTGAGCTTTACCACAGTGGTTCTCAAACATTGGGGTGCCTAAGAGTTGCTCAAGGGGAAATAGGAGATCGGAGACCCTGATCCCTGCTTCTCTTTTGAAACTTCTTAATGCACAAAATTAACACATGTGTAGAGTTAAATACTGAATTTACTTAAATAAAACTCTTCTGATTTGCACAATGTTATTTCCTTCTAAAATGTTAAAATATAAATATATGTGAATGTGCAAATGAAAGTATGCACATTAAATAAACCAAATATTTTTATTAATATACTACATGAACTTGGGGGGGCATAACATCCACATGTAGATGTAAATAGGGGGAGGTCCCAAGGATAAAAAAAAAAGTTTACAGGATTCAAAGCCTCAGTGCCAGAGCTTCTCTTGAGAATAAAAGAATAACAAGAAAAATCTTGCTCAAAGAGTGAGAGTGACATAGTAATTTAAGCATTGGACTATGACTTTGGAGACCAGGGTTTGAATCCCTGCTGAGTCATGACACCCACTGGCAAGTCACACTCTCTCATCCTCAGAGGATGGCAATGCCAAGCCACCTCTGAAGAAATTCTGCCAAGAAAACTCCATGATAGGTTTGCCTTGGCAACAGCCAGCATGGCTTAGTGATTCTGAGTATTGAACTACAACTCAAGAGACTAGGATTTGATTCCCAGTTCCGTCATGGAAACCCATTGGGTGACCAAATAAAAGCAAAAATCACTCATAGAAATGTCAATTCAGGCTTCTTAGCCATGCTCAAAAATAGAGGATGTTTTTAAATTCTTCCTGGACAGAAGGTTGAAATGGAGGACACATCCTGGAAAAGGACCTCTGGTCACCTTGCCCATGATAGGGTCACCTTAAAGTTGGAAATGGCTTGGAGGCATACAACACACACACACACACACATACACATAATGTATTCAAGTCTTTTAGTCCAAGTCTCAAGTCAAGTCTCAAGTCTGGGAGCCAACTTTTAACAGAAAAAAAGGTGATGGGAAGCGTTTCTTGAAGGGGCACAGCAAATGAGTGAGATCTGTTCAGCAGCCTTGCACTTGCTGCACACCAGAAGAACCTTCTAAAATTTTTCCAAAGCTTCAGAAGGATCCTCCTGCCTCAAGTCCATTGCCTAATGCATTTGCTGTTCCCTTCTGAGAAATGCACCCTGCTCCCTGGGAGCAGGACTTGCCTGCTGCTCAAAATGAAGGGCACCAGTAAGTCAGTCACTAAAAATATACAAGTCTCAAGTCCAGTTGAGTCAGTGTGCCATTTTTTCCAGGTCAAGTTACTGAAGCAAGTTGAGTCTGACTTAAGTCCAAGTCAATGGACTCCAGTCTACATCCTACAGAGAGAGAGAGAGAGAAAGGGAAAGAGAGAGTGTTAAGCCCTGTTGGCATGCACAGAGCCTCAAAAAGCCATCTTGAGGAGGAAAAGGGGCGCCCCTCTGCTTCAACACCACAGCTCCATCCAGTCAGGGAAAAGGAGTCTGGATGAAGGTCCCAAAGCCAGCCTCAACAAAAGCTGCAAAGCGGGGGCTGTAGCTTTGAACAACCACACAGAACAAGCATGCAACTATTGTCAGCTAAGTGTGCAATCCCAACCTTCCTCAATCCAGAGAGATTGGAAATTACTCGGGATTCCCCTTGTTCTGAGAGAGCCAGCATGGCACAATGGTTTGAGTGTTGGACTATGACTCCGGAGACCCGGGTTCGATTCCCTGTTCTGCCATGAAACCCATTGGGTTGCCTTGGGTAAGTCACACTCTCTCAGCTTCAGGGGAAGGCAAGGGCAAACCTCCTCTGAACACACCCTGCCAAGAAACACCCCCATGGCAGATTTTTGCCTTAGGGTTGTCAGAAGTTGAACTTGACTTGAAGGCACATAACAAGAACAACAAACACTGGTCTCACTTGCACTGCAAATATAATTCGGATTGACAATGGTTTAATTGCCATGGCTCAGTGCTATGTGCTCTGTCCTGGGATTTGTAGTTTGTTGTGGCTCCAGGGTGTGACAGAGAAGGTGAAATATCTCACAAAACTACATATCCCAGAACTCCATAGTATCGAGCCATGGCAGTTAAAGTGGTATCAAACTGTACTATTTCTTCAGCACAGATCACTGTTGAAAGAATGTGGTTTGACACCACCTTGGAAAGCCCTGGCTCCATCCTAAAAGAATCTTAAGATTGATTGTTTTTTGGGAGGAGACCCCAGCCCTCTTTAGCAGAGAAGGCTAAAGAGCTTGTAACCAATGCTCATACCCCTCCACCCTTGGGCAAGTCACACTCTCTCAGCCTCAGAGGATGGCAATGGCAAACCCCCTTTGAAGAAACGTGCCAAGAAAACTTCTGTGACAGCTTCACCTTAAATTTAGAAATGACTTGAAAACACAACAACAAAGCTACAAACTCCCAGGATTCCAGAGGATGGCGCAACAGCACTGAAAGTGGGACCAAACTGCATTATTCCTACAGTGTAGATGCACCCCCCCAGTGCAGATCCACCTCCCTCAGTCACCTCATCTTTGAAGGAAGAGAGTGTAGGAAGCAGCTACATTTATTTCCCTGGTTCTTCATGGTCAAGATTGGTCTACCCCAACCCTGGAGAAGTTCCTTTTTTCGGATCATAGCTCCCTGCATCTCCCAGGCTGGCTGGGGATGGGGGGGGTTCTGGGGGCTATAGTCCCCAATGTAACAGTTCCAAGCTTTGAGCTACACGGATTGGTAACATTCCTCCAGGGTTTAGGGCTGGAGTTTCCCCCCAACCTCAGTAGACCTCCACTCCTGTTGGAAAAGGGACCTACTGAAACAAATGACAGTACTTGCCCATAGGGAAACCACACTTGCCCATGGAGAATCGTTGGAGAATACTTGCCCATAGGGAATCATTGAAGAATATCTGCCCACAGGGAATCATTGGAGGATATTTGCCCATAGGGAATCATTGGAGGATACTTGCCCATAGGGAATCATTGGAGGATACTTGCCCATAGGGAATCATTGGAGGATATTTGCCCATAGGGAATCATTGGAGAATACTTGCCCATAGGGAAGCATTGGAGGATATTTGCCCATAGGGAATCATTGGAGGATATTTGCCCATAGGGAATCACTGGAGGATATTTGCCCCTAGGGAATCATTGGAGGATACTTGCCTATAGGGAATCATTGGAGAACACTTGCCCATAGGGAATCATTGGAGGATACTTGCCTATAGGGAATCATTGGAGGATATTTGTTCATAGGGAATCATTGGAGAATATCTGCCCATAGGGAATTATTGGAGAAGACTTGCCCATAGGGAATAATTGGAGGACACTTGCCCATAGGGAATCATTGGAGACTATTTGCCCATAGGGAATCATCACAAAAAGAGAATCATTTATAGATTATTTTTTTTGGGGTGGTGAATATTTTAGCAACCTTCCCTCTATCAGCAAGTAATCCCCAAAGATTCTCTATGGGCAAGTATTCTCCAGGGGTTCCCTATGGGAAAGTACTGTCATTTGTTTTATTATGTCCCGTTGGAAAAGTGGTACAGCTCCGATTTCTATTCCTATAGTAAACCAATGCCGAGCAAGTGGGCTCTCCTCTTTTAATCCGGGTTGCCTACCACCCTGGGGAAGTTACTTTTGGGGACAGGGTGACCACCAGACCTCCTCACCGCAAAAGAGGACAAGGCACCTCCAAAATGGAGGACATACCAGGAAAAAATGGAGGACATTTGAGGGATTCCTCCTAGAGGGAAGGTTGAAATGGAGGACATGTCCTGGGAAAAAGGAGGACCACAACTCCCACAACCCAGGATTGTGGGAGTTGTATTCCGTAGAGTCAAGGTTTTGAGAGCTGGACCACGACTCTGGCGATCCAGGGTTAGAATCCTCGCTGGGTGATCCTGGGCAAGTCACACTCTCTCAGCCTCTGATCCAATCTCGCCAGCACAGATTCGCTTTAGGGTGGCTACTAGTAGGAATCGACCCAAAGACACACACACACCACCACCACGACTGCCTCAAAGGAACCATACTTCTTCTTCTTCTTCCCCATAAAAGCAATCAATCCGATTTACCTGGAATCTGGTTGCTCGCGTGGACCCCAAGCATCAGGAGGAGAAAGAGACCGGCCGATAACTCCATAATGGCAGAGTTATAAAGGGAGCAGCAACAACGACAACCTTCAAACCAGAAAGGAGGGGGGGGG